ATATTTCATTAATGTTCCAATTATGGCAAAACATAACTTATAATATCTATACATATATTTGTTGTTGTTTTTTTTGGCCATCAAAAATAATTATACAAAATCATTGTTACTTTCTAATATCTAAAACAGAGCAATAATTCTAATCTATGAAGTGGGTTAAATTAATTCACATATTAATGAAATCATACTAAAGGGAAAGTTATTAGCACAAATTTATTTTTATGTGCTTTTTTTTTTGTCTTTAGTTAACGTTTCCGACATGCTCAAAACGTTCACCATTCTTCATACACATTTTTCACCCACTTTTAAATTATTTTTCTTTTGAGAGCTACGAGAAAAAGATATTTTATCACCTGTATAATGCTAATTAATTTTGGTAAAATTATACAAGAACTAACGGTACTGTTGTAAGACATGGAAAGCACATTAATGACTTAGTCGTTATTAGTACAACGGAAGCGACTGTAGATTTCTCGAACTATTCTATCATGGCTATTCCAAATCAAAACAGAAAAACAATTAACAAAGAATAACGTGATTAAGTGCAGAATTAATTGAGGTTAATAACGCTAGAAACTCAGTAATTTAGTTTACCGACGAAAACAATAACAATGCAACTGCTATTTGTCGTTACGCGCAAAGCTGCTAAATAGGTTACTTTCGCTGTGCCCACTGCAGGTATCGAACTCCGTATTTTGGCGTTGTAAGCGTTCTTGTTAACCGCTGAGCCACCAGAGACTGCGGTTTCTATTTAATTTACTTTTGCCTCAAGATGAATGTTTAATTTTATGTTAGAGTTTTTGGTTGACTGTAATTTATTCCCATTGTCACTTTTATGTTTGCGCTGTCCCCAGTCGCTTAGCGATAAGTATGTAGGCTTATAACGCTAATATTCTGGTTTCGATACCCGTGGTTGATATATCACAGATATTCCATTGTGCAACTTTGTGCTTAACAATGAACAAACAAACTGTTTGTACTAAAACGAGTTCGCATTACCTTTTCTTTATCATCTGTTCAAGCACTTTTTACTTTCAAAGTAAGTAAACGTTGTGAAATGATTTATTCTGTAATTTTAGAAAACAAACTTAGGTAAACGTTGTAATCGTTTGCATGTTCAAAAGTTCAGTATTTTTATACAGTCGATTTATATGTGAAGCAACACGCTCATTGTGGTGAAAATTTACTGATAGTGATTTTAAAAACAACACTTTTGAGCACTATTGCAATAATTTCATAGTAAAAAAAAAGCAACATTTATTCCAATAAAACCAGAAAAACAATACTTCTTCAAATAATTCTGATGAAATTAATTTAACAGGTACAAATTTTGGATTAGTGATTTCCGCAAACAGTTAACCACTAAACATATAAAGACAGCAATGGACGACCAATGCTCGAGCTTTTGAACTTACCAAAATATCTTTATACACCGCATGTGTTATAATGTATAGTAGACAAAATTAACATCGCTTGCAACAGAGTTGGCAATAATACTGATAAACAAAAATCAAGGCATATGTCACAAAACTACCACCCAGTAGGTGTTACACCACACACACACACATGTAGCTAGCTTGAGCGCCACCTCGTATTCCTATATTTACGATTTTTTATATTTTTTTCTGTCTTCTATCTTCAACTCCAATCCCGGAGGTCTGTTCGAAGACCGTCTTCGTCTTCTGTAGTCTAAATTATCACAGTGAATTTCACAACAATACGCAATAGTGCTGGCAAGGCAAACACACTCGGCTAACTAAAGCATCGTGGAACCAAGAGTAGAGCAATTTGAACCTAGCCCTGACTCATCACTACGGCTTTCTTTTTCCTATTTAGCTTGGGATCAGCCTCACCACTGTGGGTCATCATTTACTGTGTTTATCCTATTTTAGACCTCATCACGTGATCATCCTCTTAACGCTAATGTAAGTAGGTCAGTGACGAGCTGTTCAATTAAACTTATGTCAACGGGAAAGTGAACACTAGAGCTTTGCTGACAATTTGGCACTTACGGGGTCATCATATTTTTGTCAAACTTCCCTCCATGGTCATGTCACCACTGGTAGTGACACTCTGGAAGGTTCCTCGGACGTGAAAATTCATTAGTACCGCTTTTTTTTTCATCTCCAAACTTTATTTTTTTTTGTCTATTTTAATACAATTGCTGATATTTACGGATATAGCAAAGCGGAAACTAAAGATCGTTGACTTTCTTTTAAGGACTTAAGTTTCGTCAATAACGCAGAAACATAACGTTTCATCAAAAGGCTCATTATTGATTATCTTCACCCATTTCTTCCAAGAAAAATGTTATAAAGACTTGGTCTGCTGCGATGACGTTAAAACACTATTACCATGAGCTATTGATAGACATTCATCCATACAGGGCTCCCGTATCCTGAGACTAGAACAACTCGGAAAACACAGGCTACATTGAGCAAGAACGTTACATAAAATGCTATTCAAGTGACGGAAGCTCGGGCAAAGAACTTTTAACATTCCCAGCAGGAACGAATTGAGACATTAGAATATATTTCAGGTCCACGTTTCTTATGATAGAACTCCTCAGTTTGAAAGAAATTTAATATCGAAATGAAAAGAAATTTAAATTTCAAATAATTGTCTAATTTGAAACAGCTATTCCAATAATTTTTGGAGGACTAGAAGACAAGTATAGCTTCACAAAATCTGATTCCTAATACTCGCATTTGAAATAAAGTTATAATGATAAAAAAATATTGCTTACAGTATATTATTTTCTATTAGTAAACTGCATGCACCTATATTTCTAATTATGCTATAAGAATTAACTGAATTAGTTTTATTAGTATGTTTTCCTTTGATCCTAAAACACTTTTGGAAGATTTCAAAACAGGATATTTTTTATCAAAAATAATCTAATGTTTAGTTTTTATTATACACACACACACATATATATGTATATGTGTGTATTTTTTGATGGTTTGGGGAAATTATAGATTTACTATACAACATTCAAGTTACTTTACATAGGAACGATCTTTAAGCCAAGTTTTCTTAGACTATACTATAAGGTTTACTCTAATTATTTACCGAGTTGAAAAGAAGTAATGGAATGAGTATGCTTATTATATGTACGTATGTGTCTATATATGTATATATATATATGATGAAGATTAGAAATAACGATATGATTTCAGGCATGACTGTGTAGTACACTCGATCTTGATTTGAATGTTAATCAAATAATCCGTTGGGCTGATATAGTTTTTAAAGAATTTTCAATATTCATAATAAATTCGCCTTCACTAATTTATCATCGTTTGTCTGATGTCGTATTTTTCTTTCTTCAAATATAAACGTTACCAAGAAGCAACGCCTTCGTGGGATCCCAAACATGGTCTTAACATCAAAGTTAAAGTTCATCAAGAAAAGCAGACCAGAAAACCTTTTCTAGAACCTGAATAATATTTTAATATGACGTTCAAAGCGTTAACAGGAAAGACTACTTAACTTAGAGCTTCATATAAACCTAAACAAAGTTTCAACTTCAAAGTCAAACTCTCCGAGAAAAACAGAATAATGTTTCCTGAAAACCTGAATAAGGTTTCAAAAATAAACGTCAAAACATTAACATTTTAATTTTGACACATCTTCTGTTTTAATAAACGTACAGCAAGTTCGTTATGAAAACAGTCATTTTGAAATCTTCCAACACTATTTAATCATAGGTATATCTAATCTGACGAAAATGGTTAACGATGCATCATGCACGTTGTAGCTCTAGCACACATGCAAACAGTCATAACAGGATAAAGTTATACATCTTCAGCCAAAAACATAAAAATAACTATTTAGATAGGAAACCAGGCAAAATATCAACTGCTAACTTTGAGAACAAAATAAAAATTGTAACAAAGAATATTTCTTTTTGTAACTCTGAAGATCATTGTTAATGAATCAAAGGGATTAGAAATAATTGATAAAGTACGTAATTGGTTAAACAAATAAACATTTTAACGAAACATGAGTAAGTTTAATTTTTATCATTTAATTCTATCTCTCGAAATCTTATTTCCATCGTAACTGTTCTTGTATCACAAAAGAAAAAAAACACACGAAGGTTCTACCCAAGTTCAAATTCAGATCTGCCCATTCATTGAGAATATGAGAGTTGCTACAGGTGCCTATAAGTCAATTATCGTAAAATAACCATGTATGCTTTACTTAATTTAGAAAAATTCATTCACTCCATGACTTGAGTAAAACGACATGTCAAAAAACTGTCTTCAAGAAATGGGTATATATCTTTCACCAAAACAACTACCATAAAACAAATATGTCTTTTCTACCGAAAAAAAGATTCCAGTACTTCATTAAGTAATTAAAACACTTTCTTAACTTCCATTTTCACTTCCCGGCATGTTTTCGTGGAATGAAACTTCATCGTTTCGGAAACGTTCAAGCCAGATTCATTCTTCCACGACCAAGATAAAATTAATACTTCCATACATATAAAAAATAAAAATCTGAAAGTGAAACTTTTTTTCTCGGAGAAACTAAATTAAGTTTTGAAATTCAATCAATAGTTGTTGTAATTCAAGTTTCTTTTCAAGCCAAAACTGTAGACAGTTGAAAGCCGTTTCTTCAAACTATATTTGCAATTCAGTCAAGTAGGGCATTCACTTCTTAGATTTAATATTCCAATGTCCATTTCTTTGTAAGCTAACTTCATCTCTTTTTTTTTTTCAAGTGGAGTTTCTTTTACATTAAATCGCATTCAATTACTTTAAATCTTTAATATAACCAAGAAACTAAGCAGTCCTTCACCAAATTTGAGGGTCATGTGCTTATTGTATTCTGTGATTTTTAATTCTTATTTACAGGAAGGGCATGGGTATTTGTTTATTTTTTTCCAGAAAGAAACGAAATAAAAATCCTGCTGAACAAAAAGACTTATTATGGGAGAAATTTCATTCAAATATTTTAAGCTTATTGTCACCTCTCCAAAAGCACCAGAATAAGTTATCCGATTCCTTAATAGAATTAGTCACCTCACATCATCCCTCTATGTCAGAGGGTTTAGAAAAGACAAAATCCCTCCTCAAGTTTTCCGCCACCAGAGTAAGGTAAACAATAAATATTTGGCTGTTTTATACCATCCCCAGGTATCACAAAACATGAACAAATATTAGAAAGACAAATTCTCTCCTCAAATTCCAAATCAGGTTCCTTCAGCTTTGGGTGATGTATACGCTCACACTATTGGACAAGGGTAAGTCGCGTGCGGCTGCGCACATGAGTTCTGCTGCGAAGGTAGGCAACAGCGAGGCAGGTGGTTTGTGAGCAAATTTAATAGTTCTTGTCTTTCCAGTTCCAAGTTGTGGATTTCCGTTCTTAAAGCAACGTTATTTACCTCAAGATGATCCGACTCCTAGAAAAGACAACACAAATTAGATTGAAAGAAAAAAGTGGTGTACATTATTTGTATTGACACCAAACAAGAGCGTTGTAGAAGTATGAAGATCCCCCCCCCCTCCAGGATGATGTATAAATATGGGTCTATTTCATTATATTTCCATGTTTCGGAAATTTTATTGAAAAATTTTAAAACTTTATTAAATTGAAATAAATTAAATTACTGAGTTAAGTTTTGACCAAGATGCGTATTTTGCGTAATATATAGTTTGAGCCAAAAATAAAGAATATCTACTTAACTCCTTTACACAAAATCAAATATAAAAATAATTATTTATAAGATATAAACTAAGACATCTCTAAATCATTCCTAAGACAGAAACGAATAAAAGTTTTTCATTAAGCACACAGAGATCGTTACAATAGAAAAACAAAATATACAGTTTAGCATGTTAGCCTTTGTCAGACAGAAACTTTAACAATATATAATATACAGAAAAACAAGTGCCCCAGAGATACAGTGGTATGTCTGCGGACTTACAAGGCTAGAAACCGGGTTTCGATACTCGTGATGGGCAGAGCACAGATAGCCCATTAATAAATTACAGATAAACAAACAAAAAAAACAAAATATACAGTTCGGCATGTTAGTCTTTATCAGGCAGAAACCGTTACAATATAAAGTATACAGAGGAACAAAATATATAGATCATTAGCCTTTATCAGGCAGAAACCGTTACTATATAGAGGAACAAAATATAAAATATAATTAGCCTTTGTCAGGCAGAAACCGTTACAATATACAGTATATAGAAAAACAAACTGCAAAGTTCAACATTCTAACCTTCATCAGGCAGAAAATGGCAGAGCAAGTTACAGTTCATTAGGAAGAAATTAGCTCAATCAACCGTGAAAATACAAGTACAAAAAGCAACATTCAAGAAGCAGAAATCAGTACAGCACATCCGTATCTAATTTCAAAAGATCAGTAAAGTACACTAACATTCGCTAAAAATAAACCGGTATAACACTCCAGCATTCACTACCCAGAAGTCACTAAGCAGAAACTGATATAATATACCTGTGTTTATTAATAAGTAATCGGTATAACACAAGTATTCATTGAGAAGTAACTGGTATAACACACCAATATTCACTATGCAAAAGTCCATTAAAGTACAAGTCTACTGGTGTTCATTAAGAAGAAACCGGTGTAGCATAACAGTATTCAATATGCAAAAGTCTACTAGTATTCATTAAGAAGAAACGGGTATAGCACACCAGTATTCATAGTGCAAAAGTCCATTAAAGTACAAGTCTACTGGTATTCATTAACAAGAAACCGGTATAGCATAACAGTATTCACTATGCAAAAGTCTACTAGTGTTCATTAAGAAATAACTAGTGTAACAAACAAGTATTCATTATGCAAAAGTCCATTAACATATAATTACAATAGTATTCATTAAGAAGAAACTGGAATGGTGCATGAACGTGTAAAATATGTATACGTTTATATATGTTATAAAAAAGAAATTCGCCGAACCAGATACGTTATGGTTTTATTTTAATCTCGCATGTTACTTACTATAGCTAGTTTATGCGTCCTTTCCTTCTTCTTGTTCCTGCATTTAGTGGCTGCTATCTTGTTCCTCTCCCTTCTCCTCCTCCTCCTCATTTCATCCTCTTCCGTGAGCTATATATGATGAGATTGGAGATTAGTGGATAAAAAATTTTTTAATCCATTTAACAAGTATTGTCATAACATGAACCCGCGAGTCACTAATCAGCACTTGTAAGTACGTAATAGTCCTAAAAAAGTTCGAATTCTTATTAAAGACCACTTTTATATCTCCAAGCCTATTTGCTTAGAAATTCAAAATGCAAAATTTAAAATGAGGCGTTTTATCATTATCGGTTAGGACAGGTATATAATTGAACAAAGAAAACTACAGGTCAGCTTATAAGATATTCTTAGTTAAATACAGCTTATTTCAATCTAAGTTTATTTGTGTACATTTATGAGGCTTGCTTGAAAATTAAGAATAAACTTTACATGGGACCACTAATAATGAAATAGAGGCGACCGCACTGTCTTTGCAAGAAACAATACTCCGGTTCATAATTTATGCTAAATAAACCCCAAGATATTAACTCTAACAGATGTACCGACAAATAGAACAAAGAGGTTTTAAACAATTATTTCAAATAATGTAATTATGTATGTACAGTCTCCCGGTGGTACTGCGGTAAGTCTACAGATTTACAACGCTAAATTCAGGCGTTCGATTCCCCCTCGGTAGATACATCAAATAGTCCGATGTAGCTTTGCTATAAAAAATAACACACTTATAGACGATATCTGGACTTTATAATAGTTGTACTAAAGATTAAAAATACTATGTTGCCAAGGAGATAATTATGAACCCGTAAAGCCTGCTGATAATGGACTCGTTTTTACGAAGTCACGTGTTTCTGTATATATCAGCTTTATACACGAGGAACTTTATTCCTCTTTCGCGCGGACTGTAATATGAACATAATGAAGGTAAAATTCAAGACAAAAAAAAACAGGAAGAAATTCGATTTTTTATGCACAAAAATAACGGAAAGTGGCCGCATGCGATATCAGCGCACCCTGGTACGTCGAAAAGAGACGATTAATCACTCAGATGCCAAAGCGACATCTTCTGGTGGTAAAGATAGTCGGGTATAGTTTTTCTCAAGCGCGAGTATCTAGCTGAGTTTTTATATGAATACTGGAGAGAAGGAAATACACACACACACACACACACACACCAATGCTGGAGAACACGTCAGTATATAAAAATTTGCCATATCAAAGTACGGGCATAGTGAACCTGATATTCTCCCTCTCTCTTGGATTTTACTTTAAGACTGATAATTAGCGGTGACTACAACGTTGTGGAAAAATACTGTACGGTTCATTACCAGAATCCCTAAAGTGTGAAGTTGGGAAGTGTTGCCATGGCAGCAGCGTAACGGACTGGTTTATATCTACAGCAGTGAGAACAGCTCTAAGAAAAGAAAAGAAAAAACATGTATAATCTAACGTTATCGTACACAATCGAAACGTCAAAGTTTCAGTAGATTTGTATCAAAGTTTGCACGTTAGAAACTAGCCCATATATTTCTGTGTGTCATATTCTACTTCTTGAGCTCTGATTTCACATATGATTCAAGTCACATATACAGAATTTCATGTTCTTATCCTAAAAAAAAAACAAAAAAAACCAACAACAATAACAACCAAAACATCAGCCAATAAGAACGTAAGGTACGCGTTTTGTAGACAGATTATTCCAAGTATTAGAACTCTCGGCCAAGACAACATTAATACTCCTTTTATCGCTCTGCATATATATATATATACGAGTATATATATGATCATGTTTTATACACTGTTTATTTGTTCTTTGACAATATATTATCATATTAATTAAATATTATCATATTAATCAATAATGTTTTTGTTTTTTGTATGGTGATGTGATATCAACAGTTTACATCGTCGTAAATTTCTTGGTATATATATATTATCTGCCGCGTCTGTAAGCTTATTTTCTGTATCCAGGTGAGCTTTCTTGCTCGTGCTAAGTCAAAATTCAATCACATTAACTTCAATAGTGTAGTAGAGTTGTGAAAAAAAGGAATTTTGTCGCTCTTATAAATTCGAAAATATCTAGTTATTGTTCTCTTAGTTTCCTAATACATCCTCATTTTTATCTTTACATTAAACATCATTATAAGCGCTTACTTTTCTTTCTAAAACACTTAACTGTAGTTATAACACTGATTTTAGTATGTGTAAATTTTGACTTCTCGTGTTTCATATAACCGTATATTTTTAGATTGTTTAGTACATTTAGGTATGTCTTCATTCTCCTAATCTCACTTACATGTTAAAAAAGTCTCATGTATTTTTATATATATATTGAACGAGAAGCGATAAAAAAACCTACACCAGACTCTAAACACATTAAAACTTTATGGAAAAGTGATTCTACATTTTTTATTTGTTTGTTGTAAGCACAAAGTTACACAATGGGCTATCGGTGCTGTTTCCACCACGGGTATCGAAACCCGTCTTTAGACGTGATAAACCTCCAGAATGTTCATTGAGCCATTGGGGGCAAGAGTGATTATGATCTTCGATCTTAAAAAAAAAAAAGAACGAAAAAAGTCCGGATGTTCAAAGCTGGCGATTATCTAGATCAAAATTTGTAATACCACTCTTCAAAAACAAATCTTATACACCATACTTGGTATTGCATTGTATTGTATAGGTATAACACTAGTATTTGAGTATTTGTTTTATTTTTTATTGCCTTATAGAATCTAAAACATAAGTTAATTTTCTACAAGACTTCATATTCTATCAAAAATTCACGTTTGGGAATTCTTTAAGTACCAACCTAATGTATTTTCCTCGTACCTGTATGTTATATATATGTGTATGTATATAAATCTATGTATATATATTTTTATAAAGCTAAACACTGAGACTGATGTTTTTGGAATTCAAGAAAAAAAAACGCATGTTGGTACTTTAGATCCGTTTATCTAGAATGAAAAAATGACTCAAAAGCACATTTACTTATCCATGTGACTCGATAAGGAGGGGTTTAAAAGCTCAAGGTTATAATACGTTTAGATAACGTTATCTCTCATTCCCCCCGAAAAAGGGTCAAGGTAGAATAAACTGCTGGCTCGGAGACTGTTTGTCTACGAAATTTACTTTATAGTTTTTTGAAATGGTTTACAGGGTAGCTAAAAAAGGAAAGGCGAAACAATAGTTCAATGTATTCATTACGTCTTCCAGATGATTTTAACATAAATAAATAATAACTTCTCTCCTTAATAGATAGATAGAAATTAAGATAGGCGGACAGGTAAGAGACACGAAGATTATTTGTTTTGAATTTCGCGCAAAGCTACACGAGGGCTATCTGCGCTAGCCGTCCCTAATTTAGCAGTGTAAGACTAGAGGGAAGGCAGCTTTCCATGAGCACGCACTGCCAATGTTTGGGCTT